GGCAGAGAAAGCCACGTAGGGGACATTCTGAGCTTTCAGTTGGTCATTCACATGTCATACACTGAATTAAGTGTATATAAGGGACCATTTCTGAAAACTGAAAGAGGTGTGAGGCCATTGTGTTTGATGCAGTACATGAGCAATATCTCAGCAAATAGAAAAGATATGAGGTTCCCATTTTATATTCTAGCTTGTCAATATTGGTAATTTGAGTTCCTAATTCGTACAAAACTATAAACTTAGCATTTTGACATCACAAACATCTAATTTGAACCAGTGTTGTATTCAACATACTACGTGACACACAAAAAATCAATGTTTAACTGTTTGTTTTTTTTATATATTTACTTATAAATTAAGAAATTGAATAATGTATAATATTAAAATTTTAATTATAATCTACAATTTGATACCAAACTTATTGACATTTATTCATGAAATAGTAGTTCAATAAAATTTTGAATGCGAGTCAACAAATGCTATGACATGGCCTTTGACCCATCTGGAAAGGTTAATACAAATGGGAATCTAATGAGGAAATGGAATTGTGCAAATGTGCAGACTCAACTATGGTCTCCAATGATTCAGGAAGACCTCCGAAAACATCTTGCCTTAAAAAGTGAGCCATGCACAAGTCCCATAAACACACACAAGATAGCAGGGCATCCCCAACCCAAGAGATCTCAATGACAGAGGAGCCATGTTTGTAAGGAAGGGGTAGAAAATGACAAGCTTTTTTTTTTCGTAGAAAAAGTAAGGCAGGAGTCTCCACTGAAAACCCCTCAGGGGAATGATGAAGAGCCTCAGAAAGAAGGTGAATTGAGGAAAGGGAATGAAGGGTGGATAATGTTACTGAAGAATTGGGATTCAAACCCTACAAAGGGAGAATAGAATCTAACTGCTGAGAGTCCAAAAAAGGAAACATAGACCTATAGTAAGCCATTTCACATATTACATGAGGGTCGATGCATACTGACCCCTGAATGTAATTGTACAAAAACCTATTGGCATGAGCCCCACTATCCAGTGAGGGGAGAGAACAATATATCAGCCTGAAAGTGTCTCACTTAAAAGGGAAGAGTAGGAGCCATAGGAATCTGAAGACAAAGACAAAACATAACATACCTGGTTCATTTACTCTAAGAGAGGAGAAAGAGGTCTGGGTGCTTCTACTGGATATAAACATGACTGTGTGGCATAGAAAGGAGAAAGAAATAGGCTGTCAAAATCGTCGATCTCTTGTACAGATACCCTTGAACAAGGCATCAAAGGATAATCCTCAGGTGAATCAGGAGCCTGCATGAAGGTAGCAAACTCCTGGTGAACCAAGGCTATAACCTCTTCTGCTGAAAATTGTGGACCAGAAGCCACTGAAGCGAAAAATTAACTGTAGTAGGTACAGCAGTGGTAGCACTTGTAATGTGAAACTCGGAAGTCCTTGCAACTAAGAGTGGAAGCATAAAAGGCTCAACAGAAAGCTTCAAAGAATCCTGTACTAAAATAAATAATACATAATATTATTGTATGCTAACTAAAATTTCAGAACACAAGTGTAGCAAACATAAACAAAAACTAAGTTTCCATAAAAAAAAAACAAGGAATTGATTGAAAATTCCTTAAAGGAAAGCTCAAGCAAAAAACATGTTGTAACACCATGAGTAGCAATCAAGAAGTAAATTTGAGTTAAGTTCATAGAGGAAGTCAACTGTGTTAGGTGTTGTGTCATGCTCCTATTGGTGGAGGGTTGTTGCATGCTCATTTGTATGTTATCACACAGCTGCCTCATGTGAAAACATGTTAGGGTAGGTGGGAGTATCAAGGTTAGTGGTAAGCAAAAACTTGTGCAGTACAAATCAGGAAAAGTTATTCTGTGATCAGAGGTAAGATACTGTATTGGAATTGAAATATTTTCATTCTTAGCATGAACATCATCATTCACTCAGCAAATCTTTAGTGAAAATACCTTTAATCAGATTTTTTATGTACAACAGACTTGTAATGTTTACTAAAAGCTTTCCAAATTTTATGACGATACAGAGTAAATTCAAAATTATAACACAAATGCATGTGTATAGTTTAACAGATACGTGGTAAACCAAGCCTGCAAACAGGTAAATTAAAGACAAAGTGCCTTTGTTAAGGGTGTTTTTCTGTATTATTTTTCTCCATATATAACAATGGCATATTTTCCGTGTTTACCGACAGTAAACCAGCCTTGGGAGAATTAAAAAAAATAGTGTTTTAGTCAATATAAAAATATTTGAATCTCATCCATTACTAACACAAATATACAATTACTGCAGTTTTGAAAAAGCAGTGACACAAGATATAGCCATCGTTGACCGCAATGACTGTGTGAGTACTGATTATATGTCATTTGTGGCAATTGGTGCAGTGAAGACAGTTCAGCCTATCAGCATATGTTAAACACCTTGGAAGTATATCTCTTATGATTGCAGTGCAAAGTAGGATAGTAAATGCCAGATGGTGCTAATTTAGTATCATTTATTATGATAAATGCTAATATATATAATATATATAAGTGCAATAAACCAAGGCCACCAGCCAGGATATGACTGGCAGTGATTGTTCTTAGAGAAAGACAGAAGCAACTCTAAATCTCAGCCAATCACAATCAAGAAAAAAAAAAAAGAATGAAAATAAACTGTCACTCCAACCTTGCGTGACAGGTTCATGGTGTAAACTTATTCTCAGAGGGTGCTGACCATCATACACAATGGCCTATGTAGTAACAAAGGTAATCGTGACTAGAATCTTTAAAGAATACTCTCCACGACTATCTTTCACAATTCTATAACAAAATCCTATTTCTACAACAAACATAGAAACTAAACATAAAAAAATCACTTCTAAGATTTACAAATTATGAAAGTAAAAATAATAATAGAATTATACAACAGTACATGTAGCCATCAACATATAGTCAGAGTAAAAAGAGAAACAAAGTGTAAACAAGAGTAGTGGTAAAAATAATGAAATATAAAGAATATAAAAAAATATAAAAAATATATATAAAAATATAAAAAATATAAAATAATGAAAATAAAATATAATGAAGATAAAAAACTTAACAGTAGTTAGGCTTCATATGTAAATATTAATAATCAAAATAAGAATCATGAAAGCAGGTACAAGAAGAATGAAAACAATACAGAGAAAATTTCAAAATTAAATATTTTAAAACTATAAGCGGAAAGGCAAAAGTATAAAATTTAGAATTAAAGATAGCAAAACTGAAGATAATAACATGGGAAAATGTGACTCAAACACTGTAAACAAAGGTTTTATTCTAGTTGCTTTGAATCGAAGTCTTGAGTGAAGCGTGAAAACACTGATAAACAAAATCTCTAAAACTAAAATATTTGACAGCAAATTCCAGAAGATGCCAAATAATAGAAGTTTAACATTATATATGAACATTATTCTGGTGAATAGCTCAGGACGTCTCTTGGGTACAATGCAGGTCAGAGTTCAATTTGAAATTTTCCTTAATAGATATAAAATTCAGAATTTATACACAGTAAAATGTAGTGATACTTATGTTACATATTTCATGAAAATACAAAAAAGTGCAAAAAGATCAGTAAAATAAACCAATAAAACATTATAAGAGCTTACTACACCAAGAACATTGTTTGTTTGTTTGTTTTTGAATTTCGCGCAAAGCTACATGAGGGCTATCTGCGCTAGCCGTCCCTAATTTAGCAGTGTAAGACTAGAGGGAAGGCAGGTAGTCATCACCACCCGGAAGGCAGGTAGTCATCACCACCCACCGCCAACTCTTGGGCTACTCTTTTACCAATGAATAGTGGGATTGACCATCACATTATAACGCCCCCACGGCTGAAAGAGCGAGCATGTTTGGTGTGACGGGGATTCGAACCCGCGACCCTCAGATTGCGAGTCGAGTGCCCTAACCACCTGGCCATGCTGGGCCCACCAAGAACATACCACACCTATGAACTCAGCACACAAAGATGTAGTACACTCAGTGCAGAGAGAAAAAGTAACCTTATAAATAAATATTTGTTTTGCTTTAACCAAAAGAACTTAAGTTTTCACCAGATAATGTACATACAGAAAAATTTAATTATATATTTAAAAATTTGTTTTTCTTCAGAATAAAAACTTGGACATTCCACAAAATACACGTTTATAATAACTTTATGCATACAGTAGACTATAAAAAGTTAACTTACAAATGCATATCCTTACCAGAGTTTTCGGTGTTATTTCATCATCAACAAATGGAGTTTTTAAAAGCTGCTGTATAGAAGATTTCCTAGAAGACAAGTGTATTTTTCTAGAAGAGGGAGGTGCAACAGCTTTAAAATGTTGGGTGAAAGGAGTACTGCTAATAGGCTTTAGATGAATTAACTTGCGTACTAAAGTACGTGGAGTGTCATCATCCCCTGAATCATTCATTTCTGCCCTGAAAAAGTTAAAATATCAACTTAAAATGTGTTCACTCACAAAGTTTAGAATTTATAATTTTCCTATACTGAAAATGTATTTCTGACAGGTACTTACCTCTTCTCACAAGATTGGCTATTCTGGTTCAGTACTGCTCTCTATATGCAAACTTTTTTCTTTCTCTCCCCCTATTGGAATTTTAAGATTCCAGCATGTCTCATGCAAATCATCATGAGTCACCTCCCCACCAATATGTGCATAACATGCTCACATGACGCATGTGACTCCCTCTATACTCCTCTACCAAACTATCACTTCGAAGTTTGACAGAAGATGTCCTCACTGGAGAAATGTGGGGAGGAAGAGTGGGAAGTGTGAGAGGAGATAAGTACCTATCGGAAATACATTTTCAGTATAGGAAAATTATTACTTCCGATACGGTACTTACTTCTACTCACAAGATTAGCTAAAATCTCACACTGATAATGAGGAGGGACTAGAACGAATGAAGTACCCCCCAAAAAACATCTGAAGGATACCCCTAGAAAGGAGAGATTCAGATCTGAAGATCAGAATAGGATACAACACCACTTATGAGCCAGGTATACTCTTCGCCCAACTGTGAAATGTTTAAGATAGATGAGCAGAAATGACAAGAGTACATCTGAGTGGGAGAGTGTGGCAGGAAAGTGATTCTAACCATAGAAGTATCCTGTAACTTGATCCCACAATGAAAAAGGTGGGTAAACAAAACACGCCTAGGTGTAGAGTGACTAGGGTGCAGCGGACCATACTCGATAAGTCAACTACATCCAAAACCTGTCTGTGGGGAACTGACATCTACAGAAGGTAGGATGAAGATCATACTGTCTTCACCTCAAACCCAAGAACCAGGGGATTGAGAACCACTCCAATTCCCAGGTATGACACAAGGATTACCTCTGAGCTATCGATTCAGGAATTTGACATCCAGTATCAAAAGGATGTCTATCACATGCAATCAACTCCTCCAACATTGAAAAAAGGCCAAAACTATCCAAATGGAAATAACATCTCCATAAGAAGAGAGGACGAGGGATGGCCAAGGAACAATCCCACACACCACTGCTGTGACCCGCAACAAAGACAGAGGAATCAACGGAGGAAGATAAATAACTCAAAAACTGTGTGAGGACTTATACTGATCGGTTCACTATAAATCCAAACCCTGCCCATGGGGTACCGACATCCAAGAAAGTGTAGGATGAAGGCTCCCAATCGAATGGGTGAACTGCATACTGATCTCTCACTCTGATGTCATTAGTTATCATAAATAGGAGGATATCATGTCATCTACACCTGCAGAACACCACCACCCTATTCTGTAAATGAATGGTTATTTGTGTGAAACTCGTTCAGCAGGGTGCCTCCATGTTCAATCACCCCAGCAGCTTGGAATTGGAAAATGCTAAGGATTCCCATACTTCACTCAAAGAAAGGAGGGTGACAATGTGGTGGATGGCCTGGACGAACATCATCATCAGAAAAAGTGCCATGGGTGACCACAAAACCTTATTTTGAAAAGAAGACCACACCAAGTTATTCAATCCAAGCATGGCACCACTGGATCCATGAGATAAAGAATTAGAGAAAAGCCTCTGAAAAGAAAGAAAGCATAAATATAAACTTACCAGTTACAGTTGCACTGAAGCCTGAAGTACAGCCACAGGTGGTAGGCAAAAGCCAGACAAAGAGGAAATCACTATATAATGGGGATAGTGAGAAATGAACATACTGGATGTGGGCGACATGCCTGACTGCAGAATCTCCTCCATTGGACGACAAAGACGAGAAGCAAGGGAAAAAGTAAGGTGGCAGATCTAATAGGAGGACACCTGGAACAAAGTTTGTGAGGAAGAAAGTGGGAAGGAATAGGCCGATCGAACTAAAAAATGAACCCAATTGGTAATGGTAGAAGGTGACAGATCACATAGAAAGGTGGATTGCCCGGAGATAAAGAGTCAAGAACATGTACCTCAAAAGGCAATATGGGCAATATAACAACATGGAGCCTGGACTGGCCACAGTAGCCAATCCAGATCTGGTCTAGAATAAAAATGAAAGGAAGGAAAATAGCAAAAAAAAGAGGAACCACTCTCCCAAACTACCAAGGTCTTCAGGAGAAAGGAACGATCTGGATAAAGGAGAAGATAGGGAAGGAAATAAAGGTACGTGAAACCTATGTCAAACAAATCAATGTCCACAGGCTAAGAGAAGAAGGAAATATGTTTTTAGGAAAAGATGAAATATGGAACACTAAGAAAGTGGTTCAAACAGAAGGTTAGGTCACCCGGGAGGGTGATGTATCCAGCAGGAATGCATGAGTATAGTAAGGACAGGGGAAGTAAAACTCTACTATATCAGAAAAATGCGAGGTGTGGGATAAGGCTACCTGATATCCCAAAAGCAAAGAAACCAAAGACCCATGGACATAGAGCCAGGTGAGAAATTCCACCACACAAGCCACAGTAGGCTGGTAAGTGGGAAACCCCCTTGTTGTAGACCAAATAGGGAATACCTTCCATTTGTGTTGGTACACCATCATGGAAGAAGGACAGATGGAACCAACTAACAAGGAAATGACTCAATGTATGAAACTGGATCTTCTTGCTAAGGACCCAGAGAAAAGCCAGGTGTCAAGACAGAACATGAAAGGAGTGATGTAAGACATGTGACCAAAGTTAAGGAATAAGGTAGGGAGAAAGTGAAAAAGAGACAGGAGGGGTATAGGAGCAGTCACTGTAACTGTTGAAACAAAAACTGAGCTGGCCAATAACATGCAATCAGAAGGACATGACAAGGAGTGAAGTAGATGAGAGAAAACACCCAATGAAGTAATTAGATACTTGTGTGACCAATCCTAGCTGAAGGCATTGACTGCCAGAGCCTGGGGATGAGGTACAGGTGACCAAAAGAGAGGTAACTTGTTGTTGAGGCCCATAGCAAAGGCATACACTAGTGGAGAACCCCACAGATGGTAAAGATCCTAGAAAACAAGGGGATCTAATGACCACTCTGTGGGATATATCTGGTCAGGGCACAAAAGATGATCTGTGACCAGATTGAAAGCACCCAGCACCTGACACGCAATAAGATGAATGTGGTGTGTGTGGGCCCACTATAAATGATCCAACATCTGAAAACAGAGATCTCTGGACTGGGTGCCAGAAAACAAGGAAGTGATGCAGTGCCAGACGTATGGCTAGAAGTTCAAGAACATTGATATGCAAAGTGCTTTTGACCACAACCAATGGCCCAAAGCCTCCTGGTGATTGACCCATGCCCCCATCCTTCAAAGGGAGCATCCATGAAAATCTACAGATCCGAATGCAAGGGAGGAAGCAGCATGCCCACCAACATATTGGCTATGGTCAACCACCAAATTAGATCGTCTGGCAGGGAAAAAGGAAGGGTAATGAAGTGAAATAAGGATCCCAAGCAAGGTTCTATCGACCATGATGTGCCCACTGAAGGAATCTCATATGGGCATGATCTATTGCAGAAAGCAATAGAACCTTATGAAGAGTAAGTAACTAAACCTAGAAGGTGTGGCAAACCAAGAGTTCCATTCAATGAAGTCATAAAGGTGATGACTCACTCCAATAGCAGTTCCAAACCACTTCTGAAAGATGCTGGTTGGTCACGGGATCTCAAGGAAGAGGGAAGGATATGGGGTAAGGAGAGGCTGGAGGTGGGGAAAGAAACTGGACAATGAATCTTTCTGACAAAACCCGAAGTACCCATTGATCATCAACAAAGGAATACTAGAAATGAAGAAACTTGAGCAGCCGAGCCCCCCATAGGACCTAAACACACTGGGTAGTCCTCGATACTGGTGGCAACATTGAAATCAACGAGAAGTACCCCAAGTAGAAGGGACAGGTAAGGGCTGGGAAGGGGAAGGACATGGAATTATAATTGGAGGCATATGAGGATCTGACTGAGACAAAGAGGCTACAATATTTTTAAGGGTATATTGTTGTTGGACAGATGTCACCCGAGGCTCTAGAGTTTCCAGGACTGTATCAAAACCGAAACAACTCACAAATGAGGCCATATGTAAATCCCTAAGACTCGAGCCAATATGGCATCCTGACCTATAAGGTCCCAACAACAAAGAAATCATACATGTAACACCAGAGCCGAGGACAATAAGTAGGCTAAGGTGGAGGAGAGAAGGGCAAGGATATCTCCAGAAAATCCCTCAGGATTTCTGTGGAGAGCCTCAGATAGGAGGTGTATGGAAGAAAGATACCATAACATATTTGTAAGAGAAAGACACAGTCGAGAAATTTGGGCATGAGTAAGACTGGCAGAAGATTCAGTAGCCACCCCCACCCCCCAAACAGGCAATAAGGAACCTAACAATTACTGGCCTAAAAATGGACAGTCAGCATGATGGTAGAAAAGTGTGAACTAATTTAAAGTCTGTAGAGGGCATGGAATGCTAATCACCTCACATAATTGCAAGGCAAAGTGATCAGCATGAACCCAAATATCAGATAAGGGTGGAAAATGATTGTTCATGTAACAAGGAAGGACAAGGTGCATAAGAAATAGGGGGAAGGAATCAAATGTCACAAACCTGAGACACAAAACCATAAAGACTGCATTAGGCCTAGTAGATTCATCAGGTTGGGAATGGGAAGGAATGGCAAAATCTGGAGGTGGAAAAAGATGATCAAAGTCCTCATCAGCCTAAACAGGATCAGCCTGTTCTGGAGGACCATGGGTGATGTCTGGGAACAAAGGTTATCCCATGTAATGCTCGATCTCCCAGCATATAAAAGCAGATAAATCCACCATTGGGTCGCCTACCCCTGAGGCCTGAGAAAAAATGCTGGTTGGTGGTGTAACCCCCAAAGTGGTAATGTTAACTTTGGAATTTGTTGCACAGAAAGGTTCACCAAATTCAAGTGCAGAAAATAATGTGACTAGAATTATCTGATATATACTAATAGAACAGGCTGAATGAAAACA